GATTTGGCCAAGATGTGTGCATACATAAATGAGAGCCATGAGAATTGTCTGGAGAGCAATATTGTGGTAGCCACATAGTTTTTTTTTTTGCCTCTTCACCAATGGGGAACGAATCCAGCCATGGGTTCATACCATGCAAGGTAGAGGAGCTTTTTCTGATCTTGAGTCATTCCCTTGAAGTTGAACCTAGAAAGTTGAGGAGCTTCTTTTGACATAGAGTCAATCTCTTGAAATTGAACCTAGAGAGATGGGGAACTTCCTTTGACGTAGAGTCAACCTCTTGAAGTTGAGGAGCATCTTTTGACCTTCAGTCATTCCCCTGAAGATGAGGCTCTTGGCCGACTGTACATTTGCAGAAGTAAACAAAACAAATTTCAGAGGGATTTTTAATTGCAAAGGCTCAACTCAAGCGTTTTTGGATGTTTATCTGGCTGACTATGTGTCCATCTGTCTTGCAATAACACAACGGATTACAGATGTGAGCTTTTGCCTTGGATGCAGTTATCTCTGGCCCATAAGCTGTGGAGAGACTTATGTAAACCGCTGAAAGCCCAGGCCCAGCTCTGACCACTTGGAAGGATTTGCGTGGCTGATCTTGTAGATGTCGGGGATGCAAAGATCCTTTGAAATTTTCATGGAAGTTGTAAGGGAGGGGACATACTTCCAAAGGACGAGTAATCCTTGGCTTACAACCATTTTGTTTAGTGACTGTTTGAAATTAGAGCGGCTCCCAAAAAAGGCGGCTTATGACTATTTTTCACATTTACGACTGTTGCAGCATTTTAATCTATAAAATCAGAAAAAAAGCCCACTCCCTTGTTCCCTTAGTTGAATAATGAAACGCCTGCAAGAAAACCCCCAAGCTCAGAGAGTACCAGGGACTCTTCTCCTCCTTAAATCCTACTCCCTTCTAGCACTGATGATGTTACCTAGTTGGGTAATGAAACATCTGCAAGGAAACCACCCAGCTCAGAGAGCACCAAGGACCCCTCATTTCAACCCCAAGCTACAAATATTCTTTTATCTGTCATTAAGCAAATAGTTAAGTTGGGGATTACCTGTAGAAATCTTGCCGTTTGTGGTTGGGTGTCTTCCATAAATCATGACTGCACAAGCCACGTCTTTGCAGAATGTGTGAACCCGGTTAGAAGTATGGACTGCAGGCGGCAATTCGCCAGTTAGGTGCAAGGCTCCGTTTCGGACTGCGGCGGACTCGGCTTGGATGGGATTTTCCACCAGCTCAAGAAAAAAATGAAATCAAAGTTTGTTTTTAAAATGTTTGTCCATTATTATTTTTTTTGCAAAATTAGCTAACTGTAACTTGCCGGGAAACGGTTTTCTTGGCGACTGTTTTTGCTTTGAGATTCCTGGCAAAATCTTGTGAATGTAACTGGGGGAGCCAGTTTGACGCTATTCATTGAAATTATCTGGCAGGTTTTCTGTTTTTTTCTGATGTTATTTAAGCCGGCTAAGGAGTTTCCAACTTAGTCTCCTAACAGAATTCATTCACTTAATTGTGTCCTATATTGGAATGTTCACTATACAGAATCTGTTTGTTACTTCTGCAAAGCTTATCTTTTAAAGAGAGGTTTTGGGTTTCCCTGGTTGACTAAAATGGAGAACAGAATTAATCAGAAATTAGAATTTCTGATCTGAATCTGTTTTGAATCCTGAAAGCATAAACCTAACCTCAGATTCCTAACTAGGCTTCTAATTCCAGAACGTTGGTAAAATGGCCAGTCCTCATAAGTTTTTGGTATTTTTAGAGGATCTTAATATAACATGCATCTTGTGTTATATGTATTTACAATATTGTAAATGCTTGCATTTACTATACTGTATTAATACAATCCTTATAGTAATCTTGGGAGATTACTAAAGAGATGTCCAACCTAGAACTAAGGAGAAATTTCCTGACAGTGAGGGTAATTAATGGAAGAGACGTTGCCTCCAGAAGTTGTGGGTGCTCCATCACTGGAAGGTTTTCAAGAAAAGATTTAGACAGCCTGGAATAGTGTAGGGACTCCTGCCTGAGTAAGGGGGTGGACTAGAAGACCTCCACGGTCCCTATGTTCTATGTTCCATCTCACTTTAAAAAAGCTGACTTTCTTAGTCAAGAGTAGAACTATTTCTAGCAAATCCTAGTGGTGCACACCCCTGGTATTATTTACTTAGCTAAGATTTCAAAGGATTTCCTTGTTTTTTAATGTCAAGACTTTGAACCGCTTTGGCTTTTGAAACAAAGGGGAAAGAATGTAGAGCTTGAGGTTTAATGGTGCGTGCAAAGTTCCGGAAGAACTTGAATATTTTCTACAAAGCATGAGAAAAAGGAGACCAGTTGCCTCTTGAAAAAAACCCTCCAGAAACAGTTCTAACCTGTCCGTCTTCTTCTTGAACCCCATAATGGTAGCCGGCAGCCCACTTGAGGTCCACCCAATGTTGAGGCTGAAGGACCAAGCATGATCATGTTCCTCTTCTGTGTCCTTCTCTCACCAGAGTTCATCGGAACGATATGGAAACCATCTACCCGTTTCTGTTCATCGGGACAGTCTATAGTTTCCTGCATCCCAATCCAGTCGTGGCTCGGATCCACTTCCTGATTTTCTTCCTGGGCCGGATGGTTCACACCGTGGCGTATCTCCTCCAGATGAGACCTCCCATCCGTTCGGTGGCCTACAGCGTGGCTCAGATTCCCTGTTTCTCCATGGCCTTACAGATCCTCATTTCAGTGATCAGACGTCAGTGACTGTCAATGGCCTTCGTCCCCGTGGCTCATGGGTCATATTAAACGCAGGACATGGATAGCAAGAATCTAAACGGAGGGAATAAATGCTTCATCATATGGCTGTATTTTGCATAACTAGTTTTGGCTTCTCTCTCTTGGGAGAAAAAGATTATAATGGATGGATTTTTTTATCTCCTGGTCTCTGGGTTCTAAGGCGTGGATGGTATTTTTGTAAGGTCCAAGTTTGGTTTGGAGAAATTTAAGAAGTGGGCAAACTAGGAACATCCCAACTTGGGTGGGTGTGAATGAAAAGAGATTGTTCCATCTGCATCAGTTGAGGGATGAAATACTTTCTCATCCAAAGGGCCACCTAACTTCAGCTGAAATCTCTTGAGCTGCCCTTTCCATCTACGAGATGTTCAGGGTCCAGCGTGAGTTGACGTATGGATGTGACTCTTAATCTTCACATTGTTTGTAATTGAACAACTAAAACACCTTAAAAGACATTTGTTTTCCATCTCCAAGATTTTCTAAATCGCTTTGCAGTGGGTGGGCAGTATCTTTAAGCTTTGTGTAAAACTCCTGTTTTTAGATTAAATTTTTTCTCAACCTCTCAAGGGAGGCCCTTCAGATTGGTTCCCAGAATTCCCCAGTCAGGACAGACACCACTGAGAATTCTGGGAGTTGTAGAAGGTCCTTCAGATCCATAAATTTCGAAGTACAGGTTATCAATGTCTCATTAAATGTTAGGGGGGGGGGAATTCTACATGGAAAAGCAGTTAGATGGTGGAACCAATGAACCACAGGGGTGTTTGAATTCCTTTGGGTGGGTGAATTCAAGCTGGGGCAGGGCAGCTATCTTTCAGAAATCTTGACAGTCCTCCTCCGAGTATCACGTTGTGTGGGAAGTCCTCCATAACCTCTTCCAGCTCTGTGAACATGTGTTTACTATGTGTGAAGGTACTGCTAGTAGTTGTAGCTGTTTTTACTAGGCTTTTGTATCTTACCAAGGTCACAACAGGTGGCATCACTCTGCCCAAGCATGTCTTGTCTCAAAAAGCTAAGCACAGTCAAACCTGTTAGTACTTGAATGGGAGACCACTCAGAGATCACAAGGCTGTAGCCATCCTTGATCACCACTCAGCCCATCGTGATTGATGAGTTGTTTACTGCATAATTGACCTTCAAAAAGTCTCGGTCCTCTTTTTTGTGGCTCATCAACTTCTTTGCTTGCAGGACCTCCTCGTTGCTCTCCCATCTGAGCCAAAAAAAACAGGATTGTGGGTTCCAAAGAGGATGTGCAGAGTTCAGTGCAAACCTAAAGTAAAACAGAGCAGGAAGTGAAATAAGCCTAGAGCCCCTATAACCGTGCTTCTAATTTAATTTTGAGTAAAGTTTCTTACCTGTATGTCGACGGAGATTCTGAATCATCCAGGTAAAATTATCTGGCAGTTGAGTCTCGGCTTCTTTTGAAAAAGAGAAAAGTCCAGTTGCTGTGACTCATGGACAGGATTTCTCACCTTTACTTGCTCCTCCCTGGGGGATGTGGACACTTGTCCTTCATCCCCATTAGGGCAAAATCCTTAAAATAAACGCGCACTTAGAAATGATTCTGTTATCGCGTCCACGCTGCAACAGGAGCATTTTTCTCATCGCAAAATGCTGGCTACAAAAATTATTCTGAAATGTTCATTTTGCATTTGATGATACAGCACTGCCCTCTAGCGCCTATGGCAGACTATGGCATATTTCATTTTTTTTCTTTATTTCAGAAGCCAGTGTTGGGTTCCAGAAATGGACGGGTAGGAATTACCCTCTACGACAGTGTTTCTCAACCTTGACAATTTTAAGGCTGTGGAATTCTGGGAGTTGAAGTCCACATGCCTTAAAATTGTCAAGGTTGAGAAACACTGCTCTACCAGCACAAAAGAGCCGATTTTGTCTAGTGGTTAAGGCACCTGGCTAGAAAGCGGGAGATGGCGAGTTCTAGTCCCACCTTAGGTATGAAAGCCGATTGGGTGACTTTGGGCCAATCACCAGGAGACGGTGAGCTCTAGTCCCACCTGAGGCATGTCGGTGACTTTAGGCCAGTCCCTCTCTCAGCCCAACCCACCTCACAGGATGGTTGTGGAGGAAATAGGCGGAGGAAGGCATGTGGGATATGCTCGCCACCTTGAGTTATTTGTAATAAAAATAATAAAAATCAAAACACCCCAAAGCAATGTCCAGATGTTTGTCAGTTGTGGACTGGGATGAAAAAAGCACCATATAAGACTGAGTTTACACAGATTTTTATTTTTGTAGGGACTGGGTGGGTGAAGGAAACAGCCTAAAATTGTTCAAAGTGTTGAGTCTTTAAGGCTGCAAGGAATTTCTGGAGCAAAAGATTGGGGGGGGGGCTGTTTGAAGCAGAGTCATCTCATTGGTGGCCAATACTCTTTTGATTGGGGGATTCTGGGAAGCTGAAATCCAGGTAGTTCTCAACTTATAACCAAATTTGGGACTGGGACTTCTGTCCTCAAGTGATGTGGTCATTAAATGAGCCACTGCCCATTTTATGATCTTTCTCACCATGGTTGTTAAATGAATCATGCAGCTGTTAAGTGAATCTGGCATCCCCATTGACTTTGTCTGTCTGGAAAGATCACAAAGGGAGGCCACATGTTCCTGGGTGGCTGTGACTCTCCGAAACCCCTGGCGATTGCCAAGCACTCCGAATTTTGATTACACAACCACGTAGACACCGCAACAGTGTGAGAAGCAGCCACGAGTCCTTTTTTTCAGCCCCCATCATAACTTCAAAGCGGTCATAAATTGAGCACTGGGAGTTCTGGGGAATGGAAGCTGATGAACCGGCCTGCTGGAATGTGATGAGCTTCTCACAAAGAACAGAACAAAATGAAAAATACCCCAAATTTGGGGCGAAATGTTACCCTCCTTAATATGTACCTTCCCTCTCCCCACCCACCCCCATCCGGCTGAGGAGAGCTGGAGAAAAGTAAAACAGAGCGAGGATTGTGAGAATGCAAACGGATATTGCAAGGGCAATGATTTAATTGCAGCCCCCAGCCCTGTTTTTTTCTGCATTGCCCCCTCCTCAGCTGCCCGTCTTTCATCGCTAAAAATTCAGTGTCCTTTCCTCCCCCCCCCCTTCCCCTGCTGCAAATCAGCCCTCTGATTTAAGCAGCATCCACAAATGTGCATTTTGCAAACTGTTTTAAAGGAATCACAGTGGCACAATCAAACTTTTTGCTGGCTTATCTGTGGGCTGAGGGCTATCAGCTGCCGTCCCTGTTCCAAACAAGCCCTCCTGAGGAATTCAAGGCATAGGGGGAATCAGAGCAAGCGCTGTTTCTGTTTTGAAGCCAGGCAGAGCTACTTTTCCTTGACACACGTGCAGAGAGCAGAGAAGGACAAAGAAACCTCTACAGGAGAGACGTTCCCCCCCCCTCCCCAATTTGGAATAAAAACTGCTCCATGCCAAATCTTGGTGGCTCCAAGGTCACCATCCCCAGGAAAGGATGAGATAATCGGGGTTGAAAAGACCATGAAATAACCAGATTATATTTGGGTTCTTGAAGCCAAAATGTTCTTGAAGAGTTAGATCTTTGAGCTTCCAACCCAAGCGGGAAAGCTCTCCAAGTTCCATATCTTCATTTCTGGATGGCCACGTCTTCTGGATCATTTGCTCTTCCTTGAAGAAGTCATGGTCCACCACCATGGTCCACCATCATGATCTTGAAGAGGCTGGGCAACGCCTCCTCCCCAAGGGAGCTTCAAGAAGTTTCTCAAGTTGGTTGATGCTCTCTCCTGTGGTCTTCAAGGGAAGGAGACGCTGGGGGGCAGGGGAAGAGTCTTGAGCCCTGATGGACCGTGAATATCCCCGAAGTCTTGAATGGTGGAGATTGCCAAGGTTGCTGTTGACCATCGAGAAAGGGTGAGCACGTCAGTTCACAGTGGGCACCTGGTTCTGGTGGAGGCTGAACTCTTTGGCTTTCAGGCGCAAGCTGGCAATGCTGTTGGCCATGTTGACGCCCGGGGTGGGGGTGCTGGAAGTGCTGGAACTGTATGAAGGCATCGTGTTGCTGGAAGGGGCAGAGGAGATGGGAAGAAGGAGACAGGAACAAAGAAGAAGAAGAGACATTAGACCAAACTTGGCAACTTTAAGACTTGTGGACTTCAACTCCTACCTTCTGGTGTTTAGAGAATAGGTGGACCCCCCTCTTCTTTGTGGCAACCCCTGAGGTATTGGAACCTTGCTATCATGTCTCCCCTAGTCCTCTTTTCATTAAACTAGACATACCCAATTCTGCAACCGTTCTCCATCTGTTTTAGCCTTCAGTCCCCTAATGGTGTTATTAACGGAGACATAAAAAGTGCAGATTAAAAAAACATATTTTCCAAAAGTTACGTGCAAGCAGCAAAAAAAAAAGAGCTTACACTGCAAAAACGTACATAGAAAACTTTTGCTTGGAGGAAATTAACCTTTTAAAGGGTGACTGTAGGGCTGCAGGGATTCCTTCCAGGGGTCTAGAAAAAACCCACAGGGTAAGACTAGACTAAACGACGGTGTTATTAACAGGGGCATCAAAAGCACAGATCTCCAGCCCTTCTGTTCCAATGGCAGGCGGCAGATTGCCCTCTCTGGAGGCAGGGGAGATAATGTTTTTCCTTTATAGCCGAACAGTCCAACCTAATTTTAGCGCAGGGGTTCCCCCCTTCTCCTCCTCTGCCTCAGATGAAATGTGTTCCTTGGCCCAGAGAGCAATAGAGGCTCTGTTTTCCTTCCCTTCCTCCGTTTGGTTAGCACTCTGACTTGAAAGCTAACATAACATTGCCGTGAGGGCTAACCTGGAGCAGAAGTCACCTGGGGAAACGGGACAGGCAGGGGTGGGGGGGAAGGGAGGAAAGAAGCACGGACCAACCTGTAGGGGGGGGTGGCTGACCACGATAGATAGTCGGGGCTGAGGGTGGTGGGCCGGGGAGCCACAGGCTGCTCAATGGCTGTGTCTTGGGTGTAGGATTTGAGGAGCGATACCGACCGGTTGGCCAACATCGCTCTCTCGTTCCGGCGAAATTTTGCTCTCCGGTTCTGAAACCAGACCTGGAGGGGAAGAAAAACACAGATAGCCACGAAGGAGAATATTTGTGGCTCAGGGTGGAAATGCAAGGTCCTTTGACTTGTTTTCTTGCAGACATTTCATGGCCCAACTAGGTAACGACATCAGGGCTACAAGGGAGGAGAATTTGCAGAGAGGAGGAGGAGGGAGAGGATAGTGGGGTCCCTGGTCCTCCCTGAGCTTGGATGTTTTCTTGCAGACATTTCATGACCCAACTAGGTAACATCATCAGGGCTAGAATGGAGCAGGGTTTGTAGAGAGGAGGAGGAGGAGGAGAAAATCAGATGTGACTCAATTAACAACAGAAATTCTGGTCCCAACTTCATAAGTCTGTAGATGAATCCAGTCGTTCTCACCTGGACTCTGGCTTCACTAAGACTGACCCTTCGGGCCAGCTCCTCCCGCACAAAAGCATCTGGATAATGCGTCCTCTCAAAGACTCGTTCTAGAGCTTGCAGTTGGCTGCTGTTGAAGGTGGTCCGGTTCCTCCGCTGTTTCTTCTTCCGTTTGGAGGAGGAGGAGTGGGCTGGACTCAGGCTTTCCCCTGTGACAGAAGAGAGAGGAGCCTTTGTAGGAGAAGAGCAAGCTGAGCCGGAAGGGGGAGTTAAATGCGCCATCAGTCTGGAATCATTGCATGGCTGCAAGAGACTTCCAGGCCAGCCCCGCCCCATTGATTGCTCCGTTCATCCTTTTCTAGGCTCAGTTTAGCTTTGACCATTAATGGACCACACGTACTGGAAGCTAACCGAGGAGAGAACCAACCTACAACTAAGGAGAAATTAAGGAAAGGTTAATTGTTCCAATTAACAGTGGAACAGCTTGTTTCCAAAGGTTGTGGATGCTCCATCACTGGAAGTTTCCAAAAAGAGACAGGATAACCATTTGTCCGGAATAGCATACAGGGTCTCCTGCCTGAGCAGGGGGTTGGACTAGAAGACCTCCAAGGTCCCTTCCAACTCTATTCTTCTATGTTTTATGTTCTAACCAGTAGAGTGCCCTACAATCCTTGCCAAAGCAACTCTGAATATTCAGACTCATTTCCCCTTTACTCTGGGCTCCTCTCTCTGCTTCCCATATTTTTAAATGTCTCCTGACCCCCCCATTCTAGGATCCCAGCAAACCCCACGAATCGTAGACTTTTGGAAAGGGAGAATCCACACAAGAGAAGGCAATCCTGCTGTGCCTTCATTTAAATTCTCCTCTGAAACCCGATCTTGCCAATTTGCCCCAACATCTGGTTTCCATTTGGTCTCTAACAGGGGGAGAAAAAAAACCCTTATTTTGGGATGGTTTTAAAATTTGGAATACTTTTATGACAGCTCTCTGATTTGTACCAGTTACCCTGAATTCCTCTGCTATATGTCAAGCTTGAGCAACTATGATGTGGCAAAAAAAAAAAAAAAGAGGGAGAGAGAGAAAGAGAGATGGGAAAAGAAGAAAAAAAATAATATAAAAAAAAAATCTCGCCCGCTTGGAGAATTCCTTCATAAAAGGACCTTTGAGAATTTTGTCCGGAAACGGCACCAGAGCGATGCAAAAGGATACCATCTCACTTTAAAATAATCTTTGCTTTCAGTGTTTTCTTTCCTGTAGATGCGTGCCTGGATATGAAAATATACTTCACTCCTGCCAACACTTGGAAGAGTTTACAGATACTCGACTTACAACGCTCCCTTTAGTGACTGCTTGTGGTTACAACATCACTGAAAAATGATCCTCGCACTTAATGATGGTCGCAGCATTCAAATGCCAGGACCTTTCTCCTAAGTTTTAGGCTGGCTCTCTCCCGGATAAGTTTCCATCCCTTGTTTGCCTTCAGATATTTTGGAGATTAGGTCGACTCCCTTCTTCTCTGCAGCATTGCATTAATGAATTAAATGAAATTAAAATTAGTTGTTTGAATTAAGCAAAAGGTGGAACGCAAATGTTGAAGATCCTTCCTCTCATCCGTGGCGTAAATGTTGCCTCTTGTCCCATCAAAAATTGCAATTTAGAGGAAATTTTGGAGAAGATCTGGAGAACACTTCAGAAGTTTGAAGATCGTTGGCACGGCCCAGCTGTGGGAAGCGCGGGATGCTTCCCTTTTCAAGGACATAAGAGCCTTTTGCCAAAACTAGAAAATATCAAAGCCCACGTTCAAAATTTCAACCTTGTTTAGAGTTACAAAATGATAAAAGAGAGAAGTCATTTAGAAACTCCAGAGTTCACCTTGAATTCCTGAAAGTTTACGGTGAAAGCTTCTACACTCTTATAAAGCACAATTGCCACTGAAAATACAGATGTACGTATTCAAATTTCATAATTGTAAAAGTTAATTGGACATAAGCCCAGACTTTCAATACAGTGTGAATTACTAGTATGTCAAATTCAATTTACAAAGGAAGTAATTTTGAATTTTGGCTGTATCCCAGGCTCAAAGGTTTTTTTCTCTCTCTCTTCTTTCCATTTCCCTGTCCTTTTTCTCTTCTCTCTGTTCTTCCCTCCTTTTTTCCCCCTTTTCCTTCCTTTTTTTTTAAAAAAAAAAACATGCAGTTTAACTTGAGTGGACTGAAATAGCCTGAAGGCTATTAGTCGTAAATTCTTCCAAAGAAAAATAAATCCTGTCTCCTTCCTAACTTTCCTTCTTCTTTCAACAAGTCCAAGACCTGTACTACTTTTCTATTGAAATAATAATTATAGCCATGATAGCCTGGGGGATGCAGGGACTCCTAAATCAAATAAATAGATTTTATTAATTAACACAGGTCTTTCCTGGATACCAATTTGTTCTCCGGTCTCGGAGTTAAGAAAAACAAACAAGGCAGGGTTAGAGTCTTAATGTGGATTTTATACATTCACAGCCCTGGTCAGAGGGAGGCATGAAGAATGGTTTGAGTGGGGGGAAAAAAAGCAATATATTGGTTTCTATATGCTATTAAAACTCTCCTGTTTGTCTGTGTATAACCTTTAACTGGGTGAACCAGTGCATCCAATTTTTGAAGCAAGGTACCTCAAATGGATTAACTAACAGGATAAAAGAGTTGGGAGGGATCTTGGAGGTCTTCTAGTCCACCCTCCTGCTCAAGCAGGAGACCCTATCCAATCCAAAGAAATGACTTTCCAGTTTCTTCTTGAAAACCTCCAGTGATGGAATACTCACAACCTCTGGAGGCAAGTCTAATAATTGTTACTGTCAGGAAATTCCTCTTTAATTCTAGGCTGGATCTCTTTTTATTGATCTTCCACCCGTTGCTTCTTGTAAAGACCTTTCATTGTCTTAGTGTAGGGCTGGAAGAATTGAGGCTACCATTAGTTCTATATTAAATGTGTTGAACTGCTGCAGCTAATACTGGATTTTTCGGATATATGAATTAATGGGATTTTGTGATGGTTGGGTTTTGATCTGTATCATGGTTGGTAAAAGTAATATTTGATAATGACAGTGAAAATATAGATGATTTGAATCCTTGCGGGTTATCCTCAAATGTTCTGGAAATCAGCATCTTCTGACTGGGCCTCTATTTGAAAACGCAGCATGATTGGGTTCTTATGCAAGTAGCTCAAGGAACAGTAACTGTTTTTGGATAGGATACAGGTGGCCCTCAAGTTATGACCACAACTGAGCCCCAAATTTATGTTGCTAAGTGAAACAATGCGTGGAAACTAATCAAGGAGAGAAACAACACAGAACTAAGGAAAAAATTGCTGACAGTGAGAACAATCAACCAATGGAACAGGTTGCCTTCAGATGTTGATCTCCCAAGAAAGTCAGATTTATTGGAAATTCAATAGTCATGTTTGATGATGTTTTGACACTTGGTGGCTATGTCCTAAATAATTCTGGAAGTATGTCTAAAATGCAGACCCCCCCCCCAAGCAGATCCAAACAGTGACTTTTTAAGGCTTCCAAGGCCACAAAGAGGCACAAGGTGTGTGAACGCAGCTCCCAGATGTTTTACACACCCAGTTAAAATTCTTGCTTGAACCCAGGGGTGACTTTACAGCCCGATTATGGCCTTTCCCTGTTGCTTCTGCAGTCCGGAGCAGGAAGCCAAAATCAAAAGTTTGTCTAGCCTCCTAGTTGGGGTGTTGCGTTGTTGCTGCTTGCCTTGGCTCCCTTCCCTTCCTGTTAGATTTGGGGTTCCCCAAAAAGAAACGGATTTTGCAAACGGCAAACGGCCAAAGAGAAAGAGATAGAAAGAGAAAGGATAGAAAAACAGAGAAAGAGAAAGTGAGAAAAAGAGAGGGAGAGAGAAAGAGAGAGAGAAAGGGGAAAGAGAAAGATAGAAAAGAGAGAGGGGGGAAGAATGAAAGAGAGAGAGAGAGGGGGGGGGGCCCGGAACGTTCCAAAGCTTCTCCATCCACCTTGATTGACGGCTTCCTTCATTTATTATGCCTCTCAGACCTCTTTGGGGAATGAAAATCTCTCTGCTTGCCCCCCCTCCCCGGCCCCCTTCCTCCCCAGCCTTTGAAAAGGAGCGTTGACTTTTCCCTCGGAGGGGGTTAGAAAAATGCAGAAGGGCAAAGTTTTAAGCCCCGCCAGGGCAATCAAGGAGGAGGAGGAGGAGGGCTGGAGGCAGGTGACCCGCTTCCTCTGAAGTTCCCCATCTGAAAACGTTTAAGTGCATCTCAGTTTTCTTTCCGATCCATCCAGGCTGTCAGAAAGCCCGCAGGGCGGAAAAACCGTCCCTTTTCCTTCGCTGCTCCTCCTCGTGGGAAATGGACGGCAGCCCTGGGAAGGGGTGGGGATGGACAGGCCTCCTTCAAACCAAAGTCTTCTCCAACAAGCCCTAGGGGAAAGCTAACCATTAAGTTACTTTAGATCCATCCATGCACCACACAAAATGTCACAATTGCAGCTTGGACAAAACCGACGTAGACAATCCCTCCTGCTGTTTGGGCCAATTAGCTGAGCCCCTCAAACCCTCCACCCCCCCTCCCTGGGTGCAGTTTCTGCGCCCTGCCCCTGCGTCCTGCCTACTTCGGTTTTAATTGAATTTGTTAAATTTAAAGCCTTTATTCATTGTTTTAATAAAGGCTGGTCAAAGGCCATAATAAAGAGATTTGATTCGAGTTGAATCCACTGTTTTAGTGCTTTATACTGCATTTTCTTTTAAGATCAGTAAACCGCCTAGAGTTTCCCTTGGCAGATGGGTGGCACACGTGACAGTCATACCGTAGATGATAGACAGACAGACAGATAGATAGACAGACAGACAGACAGACAATAGATGGTAGATAGATGATAGAAGATAGATACATGATAGATGATAGATAGATAGATGTAGATAGATAGAGATACAATAGGCAGATGATAGATACAAGATAGATAGATATAATTTGAATTTACAGCTTTGTTTCCTTTCTCCTCCTCCTCCTCCTCCTCCTTTACCAGCTCACTGGTTCTTGCCCCCCTCCCTGGATTTTTCCATGCAGTACTTTGGAGAAGGATGCTTGCACTCCCGCCCCCCCCTCGGCACCAGTTCACGCTTTCCCATGTGCCTTGCAGGTCTCCTCGCGTGTGAGGCCCTGCAGAAGGCCAGCCTTGTTGGCTGGGAACCATGG